ATGATATGTTCCGTGCAAACCGAAACCCGCAAGTAGACTTTTATTTGAGGGGATATGTAAGAGATAAAACTTTATAAATCCTTTTCCAACCACTCGTGTTATTGGGATTAAGTGGTTTGTTCGTTAACAGAGCGGCGGCTCTGATGTTACTAACTGTTAAGACAGATCTATCTCTCGACCCTCTTCTGGTGATGATGACGCAACTACGTACGAAACTAAGGGGTCGTTTGGTTTTGGTGATAGTTTGGTTGAGATAGTTACAATGCATGCAATGTTCACAATGCATCTTTTTTTTAAATTTTCTGAACAAAGAATACATGCATTATTTGCTTGATGTGACACAAACTATCACTCAAATTGAGTTATAATTAAATCTCAAGTTTGGTTGAGATTGTTTGATTGAGATTATTGTGTTTTTTTTCTTCTTCCAACTATGTCCTTACCTTTTTATTTGTGTTGCTTTTTTATACTAAAAACAAAGGGTACAAATATCATTCCACACATAAAATAATATAAGTTATTTAAACACTACAATAACTATCACAAAAACCAAACAATGTAAACTACAATACACCAATTTTCTTATATACATGTATATTATTATGCATGCATTGATGACAATACATCGATTCAACTATCACCAAAACCAAACGAAACCTAACATGTCCTCATGCAGCTAATGAATTAACATCGTCATTTGTGGGCCAAACCCCAACCCCAGCTTCCTTATAAATCTTCTCTCCATTTTTCACTATTTTGTGACTGTCCATGTAGTTTTGTAAGTGTGGCTGCAAAAGCCAAAAGGGATGACGACCTATCAGAGTTTGGTACAGTCTGTTGCTGTCAATGAGCCTGCAAAAAAAAGTGCTGATTGTAATTGCTGGCTGGCTGCAATTATATAAGTCCTATAGAGAAGCAAATTAAACGCCAGTAGACCCTCTCATCCCACCACCTGATAGTCCCCTTTTATTTATTTTGTATCTGTACTGGAGAATGATCTTAATTAAGGCCAATTTCACATTATAGGTAATAATGCATAAGTACTCGTTTGGTTCATCCGAGCAACGGATTCAATAAGGGATTTGGCTTACAAAAATATTCTATTCGACTCGCAAAAGAGCTCCACTGCTCGTATTTTTGTGGCTAGTCCTAATGGGAATGTCCCAAGATGAAAAAAGTGGTTGCTACTTTGGTTGTCTTATATCCCCTACTCCCATAAACGGCGGCCAATTTGGTTTCCTAAAGTGCAAAACGGCGTGTGGACAATTTCCATGAAGTGCAAATCTTGTAAGGTCAATCTCGATTATCCTTATTGCTCGTAAACTCCCATCTCAATCTAGTCTTTCGAAAGTTTAGGGTGAAGCTCTTTGTATCTCTATTTTTATGTTCTCGTTTTCATTGATATGTGTGGAGAGGCAATAATGCAAAGAGGAGTTTCAGAAGCTTTATCCATAATGTCCAAACACAATTCTCAAGTGAAACTTTACTCAGTGAGAGATTGTACTAGATAAACGACGTCATACTAGTGCGACCCGATGCTTGATTGAACATTCTTATTCTCACTATGCAATGAGTAATTGCCTCACACGTAGCTTTACCACACACTTTATTTGTGACAATAGTGTCTTTTATTTTGTTTTGTCATGGTGAGATTTTTTTACTGTATAGAGGTACAATTTGTCCCCGGATCCTCTCCCGTTTGTTTTGAAGAGCTGCAGACTCGTTTTGCAGAGTATGAGAACTCGCAACGGATAGTGATAAGCTCTATATCTGAAAATTTTGAATGGTCAAATAGCCTCATGATGAGGACATCCTCCATATTCACTACAATAGCCTCCCTAGATCATGTATCCATGCAAAGATTAGCAATTTAAAGCAAGATGAGCTTTGGAATTGCTTTGGACAGTATGACATTACTCTATTTTTTTCGAAGTTCGCGTGCTATGCACACGCAAACGGCGATAGAAGCCTGAGGAGCTGTCTATCATATGGGTGGGCCTCCTGGCCCATTTAGATGCAACTAACCGGTAAGCTTGAATGGTTCAGAAGGGATGGACTGGGGTTGACTTATGGTATGTCAACGGCCCATGTCAATGTTGACCCAGGCCTAACGACGAGTTAGTACATATATAGGAGGGTCGGGCCGGACTCTAAAACCACGGTCAACATCATCAAGAAAATTAAATCACGAGAATCAAATTTTGTTGATACAAGCACCATTAAAATCGACAGAAAAGCTAGCAAGACAATATTTAACAATTATAGATTCTATATACTACATGAGTGTTCTGTAGTAAATAGAATCTATAATTGTTATATTTTCAGTTTTCTGATTCCTGTTTACTTTTGAATCCACTTTTTAACCAAACGTAGCTCTTACGTCCTCTCCTGGCCAACAACGGTTGTGACAAAAGAATCTAGAAGAAATTTCTGCTTGTTAAATTCGAATTGTTGCTTGTCTCGTTAAGTGTTTGAAAGGTGCATTTTTTCACAATGTAGTACATGATGAACACACACTTTAAAGTCGAACCGTTAACGAATTCATTATGATTTGTTTTGTTGAAATTTCTGCTTCTTTTTTCTAGTCCAAGCGTGATGCCTCCCTTTGACTTTATTTGCAGCACATCACTATTCCCATTCCTACAACTGCATGCTGCTACTGCTGCTGCTCGCTTCCACTCACTGTCTCCCTTTCTGCCTCCATGAATGATGATGGAATTTGGAGACTGCCCTGAACAGAGCAGACCAGCCACCCCCCACAAATGAAAGAACAAATTAAATGTACCCTTTACCAAAACAACATATATTAAAAAAAAAAAAAAAAAAAACTAAAACCCACCTCTCTCTGGGAAACATGGTTAACAAGTTGCTAGCTTTTGACTATTACAGTCGTCATAGGATTCCCGTTTGCTGCTGTCAAGAACCAGTTGATCCCAATAACTCGAGTTGTTGGGAGAGGTTCAATCGTGGATCATATACCATAACAGTAACAGCTGCTATTCCTCTTTCTATATGGTCGACGCAGTGAGGTAAAAAAAGATCACATGCAAGAGAGAATGCTGATGATGACGAGAGCCATAATAGTGTTTCTCTAGTAGTGCTGCTGCTATAGGATAAATGCAATTCTTATCTCCCTTTTTGGCCTACTATATGTTGAACAAGAGACAGCAAGCAAGATAGGAACAATGTTGCGACATTTTTTTTAGCTTCCTTGTCCCTATCTCCTTTCTCTTCAGCTAGCTAGCTGCTTCTTCCTGCTCTATCTGGGTCTCTGCTGCTTCAACCCTTTACATAAACGTACGTACGTACATACACATCCCCTACTTCCTTTCACTATTTCCTCATTCTAGTTTGTGACCATTTGTTAGTCCCTCCTAAACAAGCATCATTTTTGCTTGCTGCCCATCTATTCCTTCTTTATCAGATGGCGTTTCTGTACCTTGCTGCAAATTCATTAACCGCCTCGATCGATCGATCGATCGATCAGTCCTCGTCTAAGTTGTCATTCTCATGTGTTGGGGAAGTGGTGGTGGTGGAAGATGGGATTGGCCGCCAGGTTGGGTAAAAAGTAAAAGTCTCCTCTAGCGGAATATCCCTTCAAATTGATAGATTGTGCTGTAGCTTTTCTTGTTTACTTTTCTGATGATTTGCTACAGGTCAAGGCTGATATATATAAAAGTAACCAATCATGCCAAATTTTGTGGGGGGAGCTAGGTTTATGATGGTAATTATCCTTGATTGGATTTCTTAAGTACCTTCTACGTTAGGGAAAGGCCCAGAGTCGATGTTTATGGCTGCAGCAAACATATATATATATGTGCCTGCCAAATGTAGTACTGCTGCTGCTTCTTTTTGGCTAATTACTTCCCAGCAAAGTATTCATCAGTGTAACATCATGATGATGAAAATTAAAACCCCACTGCCTAGATAGATAGCTATCATGATACCCTCTACTCCAAGGAAAGGAAATGCAATCCGGCTATGATAATCACAACCCATTTGCGAGAACCATTTCACAAGCGCTCAGGATCGTTGGATCAGGCACTGGCACTTGGCAATCGCATACGCGACGGCAATTCTGTAAGGAAAATGTCACCGAGTCAAATATCCAATAGTTGCGTAACGCTGGGTCCCCCCAAATCTAACAACGTGGAACACCTGTGAGATGGTTCTCGCGGAAGAACGGGTTGTGTGAGCACGAAAACAAAATCGAATGAAATGAATCCGTCAGGAAACTAGTAGGAAAGAATCGGATTGAAGGCGTGAATGATTCACTCTCCTTAGAGTTTTATTTGCCCTCACTACCAATTGCTGGTAGGATCGAGCAAACCACCCGTAGGAGCCCTTTCAATTCAAAATCTGGAAAGCAGCAATCTTAATTACAGACTTCTGTGTCTATGAAATAGATAAGAATGAAAACGGGAAGAAGAAGAATTCTCTCGTATTAAAAGAATTATGACAGTAATTTATTTATGCTAGTGAAAATGGGAAGTTACGCCCCCGAAGAGACACATCCTTTCACAGGAAAAATGTAGTTAACTTTCCCGAAAAGACACATACTTTCACAGAAAAAAAAGGTATCTTTCTCTAAGGATACTTCTTTTTACAATATTCAAACTTTAATTCATCAATTAACTAATTGATACAAAATTTAATTAAATAAACTGATAAAAGACTCAATTCTTATAATTTCCGCCGCACATGATCAATGTGGCATTACAATTCTATCAACTAATTCGAACATAATCAATAGAAGCACACACAGTACTGCTTCGTCAACCGAAATGGCAGCAGACATTATTCACACAACTGTACGTTCCCATATAACTTGCTTACACATATAATGAAGCAAATCGCCCATTCCTTTGCAAACATTAATGATCAACAGAGACATGAGACTTGGTACGTACGTACTGATCATTATTAACTTAATTAAACTAGCAGTAAATAATAAGGACATAATAACATATATAGAGTTTATGTTATGCTGATCATCATCATGTCTTAAGATATGTTTACTATTTACATGAACTTTTCTAGATGATCAATAAAAATGGGTAACTTACTTCCTCGAATTCCCGTATATGAACAGAACATGTGATCGACCACGAGTAGTAAAAATATATGCATGTTTAATAACTTCGTTGTATTTAAATATATCGTATAGTAATATTGAGAGGCCGATCGATCAACCTTCTCATTTCCACAGATCGATTTCACTGCTACCAGTAGTAGTAGGGCTGGACGTCGACGGCGGCACCGTGGTGGCATTGTCAACATTCTCTCCGGCGGTGGCCGGCGGCTGTAGTTGATGATCATCATCATGGCTGAGTTGGGAAGCGACGAACTTATCAAGCACTCTCCAATCCGTCACCGAGTCCACTCCTCCTCCACCTTGCTGCTGCTGATGAAGATGATGATCACCGCAGCCGTCCATCCCAAAGATTAATGACCTCAAGCTCTGGCGGTGATGGTGATCCAGCGAGGGTTCGGGTCGCGACGTGTTCATGTCTAGACCGTAGGATGACGGTGGCGGCGGCGGAGATGACGACGTGGACGGTGGAGTCTGGAGGAGGGGCTTGGGGCTCTGAAGAAGAGGGAGCTGGAGGAAGTAAGTGTTGTTGGGATCGTGTGGGAGCGTTGGGAGGAAGAGGAGGTCGTTGGCGAACTGCTCTTTCTTGCAATGAGTGGCGGTGGTGGTAGTGTATGGGAAGCCATGGCGGTGGTCGTGGTACGCCGCCGGCAAATGATGATCCGGCCGTGGCGGTGGCTGGGAGATGGAGCTTTGTTGGTTGGGGGAGTCCAGCGGTTCTTGCGTGAATGAGGAGGAGACTTGGTCGTCGTACCAGTAAAGTGAGGAGGAGGAGTCGTGGTCGTTCATTTTTCTCACCGTTGTTATCTTCTTCTTGAACACCCGACATACCACCCATCCTTCTTCCTGTACAATCCCATACACAATGTACAAAATCAATCAACAAAATTTTGATTGAATTTTCTTTATCGATTCGGACAACGAAACATAAATACTGGCAGAAGAACTCTCGTTGCAAAAAGTTTCGACTTACTTGCATTCACAATAAGCTGGGAGTTAAATATTATTTGTTGTCAATGCTACTACTCGAGTTGTTAGAACATCTTGTATCATTCTAGACCTAATATCGATGGAATGCTAGAGTTGATCCAGTATTTGGATCGACTTAGCTAGTGACAAAACATGATTAAATATGAGTGAGTAAACTGTCATTTGATATTAATATAGTAAACTCATAGGCAAGTAGTTAAGTCAGGAGAAAAAAAATCATAGGCAAGTTCCTGGACGGCCAGATAAAAATGTGTTACCACTATTCTCTTCTAGTTTGAAGGAATCAACATTTTTAGGCAGGTTAATTAGTGCTAAAAATCCCACACTTGCCTGGGGAGCGGCGTTCTCGTCGGTCTCGAGGCGGTACTCGTGCATGATCCAGTCCGACTTCTGTCCGTTCGGAGCACGACCCTTGTAGAAAACAAGGGTCTTCCGCATCCCGATCAGCTCGTTCTTCGTGTAGATCGCCTTGTCCCTCCCCGTCGCCTTCCAGAACCCTGCCGTCGTCGCCCTGTTGGTCCTCGTCCCCGTCGGATACTTCTTGTCCTTGTGGCTGAAGAAATACCACTCGCTCTGCTCCTCGCTCCCTATTCTGCACAGCTCTGCATGGCAGAAAAAAAAAAAACATTGACGATCATCATATATGAGTTTACGTACACAGCCATGGTCAAAGGTGGGTTTCAAGTTTTGTAAGTTGGTAAATTACCTTGAAGGTCCCATGGCTCGATCTTGTAGAGGTCGACGTCTCTGATGACGTCTAGGTCGATCCTCCGGCAGTTGATTTTCTTCCTGAGGTAATAGTCCACCAGCTCTTCGTCGGTGGGATGGAACCGGAACCCTGGAGGAACTGCGTTCATCCTTATCTCCGCCTAGGGTTGACTGTGAGAAATGAACATCAATTGTGATTTGATATATTATTTTTTTCTTCTTCTTCTTCATTTTTGTGGAATGGGAAAATAGAAGAAGAAAAAAAACAAGTCACATGTTAGAATCATGATGTAAAAACAACTTTTATGATGATGCCCGAAAATTATTATTGTGATGCAGAGTCTTCCACTATACATGGACACAGAAAGAAAGAAAGAAAGAAAGAAAGAAAGAAGGAAGGAAGGATGGCTTATCATCATCATCATCACCACCAATATATGTCTATGAATATATGACCAAATGAAGAAAGAAGAGAGATGGGAAAGGAATGTATGAACAGTAGTAAGAATGTTGACCCCCAACAAAGTATCAGTTTGAACAACACACAGCCAATAAATGCAGTGCAGCAAAGCCTTCATATTTGAGAGAGAGAGAGAGAGAGAGAGAGGTGGGATAATAAGAAGAAAGTAGTACCTGTGGATTGTCTCCGGGCAGCGAAAACCACCGGCGCGGCGTGGGAGCAGGCTGGATATGGATAGATCCCACGTACGTCGGCGGCTACCTAGCTACCTGGTTTCAGTGATGAAGTTTAACTAATTAACTTCTAACTTCACCACTTTCCCAAGCAGAAAGGTTTTCTAGGTAGATGGAGACAAAGGAGGCAGCCAAAGGGCTACAACCCGGCCAGTAGCCTCGGGAATTGAACCCTCCACTCCGGAAACCAGAACCGAACCAAACAACCGCTTTCTGGGAAAAGGGGAGAAGAAAGAGGGAAGATGGGAGAACAAGCGAGCACGGCGACTGTCCACACTGTCGGCTTGTCTCCCCAAAACAAATCCCTAGAGAAAAAAGATGGAGGCGCGGAAAGCCAAAAGAAGAAGAAGAAAGAAGAAGCTAGAGGAAGATAATAACCAGCAGACGGTGAGAAAAAGGGAGAGAGAGAGAGAGAACCCAGATTTGAAGCAGAAGAAGCTAGGCAGGAAACCCTAATGAGGCAAAAACAAACACCTGTCACCAAAACCAGGATATGAGTATAAGATGGAGTGTGGAGATAAACCTAATTCCTCTCTCTCTCTCTCTCGGGCAAGCTATTTCCCTGTCAGTCTTTCATCATCCAATGCTTAATGTGTAGACAAAAACTCCAGCAAGAAAGAAGAAGAAGAAGAGGAGGAATGTATCGTGAAAGGGTTTTTGAAGAAGGGATGGTGGGGAAAGCTAAGGCTTGTTATTGCCACGGACCTCTTTCCTCCCTTCCTTGTCCACCCGCCGCTGAAAGTGACTCTTGTGAATTGATTTAAGGGAATTAAACAAAAGAGAGAGTATAGTAGCTAGCTAGTATAGATGTTGAACATCATCGTCATGATTCAATTCCATCTCTCTTTGGGCGGTTGTTGTTGGTAAGTTGCATCAAAGAGATGGGTGACAGCAGCAGACCAGAAGAAGAGGAGTTTGGCTGATCGAGCGAGCTTAATCAGCTGCTGACTCTGCCTCTGAGAAACAAACTCGAGTGAGAGAGAAATTAAAACTGACCAATCACCACCATGCTTCAGTTCACTATTATATATACACAGATAATCCATTACATATCGGGTCATTTGGATGGGTCAATCTAGAAATGAGTCAATTTGATCAATTGTCTCGTTTTTATAAATGAGACAATTAAAACGAGTCAATTCGAATTACCTGCCCCACCCCAGGTAATTAAAATTGACTCAAAACAGATCAATTCAAAATATCTCAGGCAGATTGATCCATCAAAATTTTTTGTTGGCAAACGAGGCAATTTGGTACAATTGTCTTAAAACAAAATAATTATATCAATTTGATCTGTTATAATTCCTCGTTCAAACGACACCAATATAAAAGAATGACCGGTCTGAAATTGTGAAAGACAAGATGTGGATTGTGGTGTGGTGGTAGGGGTGGGATTGGTTGTGATGACGTAATGGAACAGCTACCAGCCAAAAAGCTACACCACTTTGTTTCCTTTTTATTTCATTCTAAATATCAAAGTTGAGAATATTTGAACCCCACCACAGATTTAGTATTATGTTCAAATCAACTAACAATATTGAAATTCATTTTTTTTAAAGAAGAAGATAAAATTAGAAAATTTTATATTCATATTACAATAATAATAATAATAATAATAATAATAATAATAATAATATTGTTGTGACTGAGATGGGGGAGAGTTGGTTGGGGAATGATCCGGAACTCGACGAGCTAGCGAGTTGATATATAGGTACATCTCGTCTCATGAAGTTCAATGTGTGTATCAATGTCTTGGAGCTTTCATGGAGTTATTAGATTTGACGATGTGCATGATTTCAGTAGATCCTCCAAATGCCTAGCACGATACACAAGATGTCAAGCATCATCAAGAGCTAACTATGTTGGTGTTGCAGGTGCGAAAATATCGAAAAATAATAAACCAACAATATAAGACAGATTTCTCAATGGGGGTAAGAGAAGGGATATAACTCAGCGCGGTAAAATGTCACCTTGACATGATGGAAAACAATAAAATTAAATCTGATTTCATTTCTCTCCTAACTTGATCATTAGAGGATCTTTTCAATTTCATATACCGATCGATACCTCAAAATAATTCTTTTCATCGCAACCACTTTTCTACTCAATCTTAAAAAGCAAATTTTCGAGGATCGACCCATCGATAACTACTAAAACTGAACCTGACCATTTTTCTCTCCCACATTGAATATGCATGTTTACTATTTTGTGAAACAATAGCTGATGCAATAACCATCTTTTTAAAATTGATCATACGATATATAGAGAGTAGATATGCCAAAATCAACTGCACCAAACTTTTGCCCCAACAATCGACATGATTCAATCCAATTCCTCCTTCTATTGGATGGTTGTGGCCTGTGGGGTTGTTTGCTTTGTGCAGCTGAATGTGGAATGGTGGCCCCTCCATATACCCCAAAACTCCATTCCTAGTCCCAACCCATTTCCCTCCTTTTTCTTCAAAGTCTTTCTTCTTCTTTTTTACTGTTGTGTGTGGTTAATTCAGAATGATGGTGTTGGATCTACTAACACTCTCTCTCTCTCTCTCTCTCTCTCTCTCTCTCTCTCTCTCTCTCTCTCTCTCTCTCTCTCTCTCTCTCTATCTAAACTTGCTCTCTTTGTCAAAATTCAGCTTTCTCAATGCAATTGTAGCTTCTCATTATACCCTAGCCATTCATCCAATTAAAGGTAACTGTGTCTGAGGGTGAAACACAGATCGGGTGAGGTCAATCATTTACCTCATAATATATTTCATCTGCCTTCACTAACATTCACTTTTCATTATTACCGCTACTCTTTTTTTTTCCTTTCATTGATCAGAAAAGTTGATTAGACCGATGCTAATTTATTAGGGCGTGACATGATGAAATCACAGAGGGGGACAGTGGAAAGTGTGAGCTAGTTTGGCTTTTGGGAAAATTGGGTTTTCTAGAAATTAACCTGTTGAAATATTTACTGACGTGGGGATGAGGTCCTTAGCAATTACAAATGCATCCACCTACAAGAGCACATTGATGAAGTGAAATAACTCGGATGAATGAGCCCTCTCGATCTCCACTCTTTCTTTTTATCAATCCATCTCTACTCTTAGAGAATACTCGTATTGCTTACTTTCACGATAAAATCTCTTATCCAGATTTGGCTCGGCCCTTTGGATTTCCCATTGGAGGCAGATCGAGCAGATCACCTTGCTCAAATGTCATTAACTATATATCATTAGGCAAATGCACCATACTATGAAACTTAGTATGAACGGTGTGGTTTGAATCCACTGATACTATCAACTCTCTTTAATCCGCTGATACTATTAACTATATATCATTAGGCAAATGCACCATACTAACGTAGGGGATGAGGTCCTTGTAAATAACAGTATATATGAGCCCTCTCTCCACTCTTCATTTTTATCAACCCATCTCTACTCTTAGGAAATACTCGTATTGCTTACTTTCATGATATATAAAATTCGATATTAATTCGTGTGAGATTGATCGAGCAGATCACCTTTCTCAAATGTCATTACCTATGTATCATTAGGCAAATGCACCATACTATGAAACATTGTATGAACGGTTTGGTTTGTAACGTTAGTCATTGGACTCACTTCGAAAAAAATATTAGGTTTGAATCCATTGATTCTCTCAACTTGTTGTACTATATCATAAATAAAGTAATTAAGGCCTCCATAATACAAGCATCTGCAAGCTCTGAAGACTCCTCTTGCGCTCCATCGATCAAACAGCATTGTCCCTTTGTTAAGAGCCAAATCTATCAACTTGTCATTGTACTATATCATAGATTAATTAAGAGGTCCTAATTAATGCAAATATTAAGCACGGTCAAGTACTAAATTATATATATTATTCCACACCCTTCTAATACTTTTTGGTTCTACTACATTGCTACCTCGTGACTCGTACGTTTCCCGTTCCCACTCATCATTGCAATTCATAACCCCGTTTTTAATATAATCCGTTCTGTCCCACGCAGGCTTTCAGTAGTCTTCACGGCTAGCTAGCTCCTTCACCGTAACGCCGTTCCGTTGGTCCAGATTTTTGGCAACTGAATAAAATAAACGCGGAGTCCAAAGTCCAAATAAAGATGAAGCGATCCAGGTGTTCGCTCCCTATTGGTCCCTTGCCCCAAAAGCGACCCAAGCTTTCACTCGAGTTCAAGCAGACCGACCAATCGGCGTTCTCGAAAACGACAGCCCTCCAAAACCGCCAGGAAGAGGCCTGATCAGCAAGCGTGAAGCTGGCCGGTTCGCTCGATCGGTTCGTGGGTTCGGATCGTTTTTTTTTTCTTCTTTCTTTTCTTCCGACGGTGGTGGAGGATGGGACCCAGCCTCGACCGGCGATAGGGTGTTGTTGTGTGTACGTGGCGGCGGCTTGTTGTCTGGCGTGGGCTAGCCATTATCATTGAGCTCGCAACTTGCCGAGCTGTTACGTTCTTCGCGTGGGTCCCGCCGGCGAGCGAGCCGATGTGGTGGCGACTGGCGCGCGTGGTCCGCCCCCGCGCGTTTCCTATTAGGGTTTCCAAATGTGTTCGCGCGAGCGAGCTAGGGAATGAAGAGCGCGGCACGTGAAATTCTAACCAGTGGGGGAATAATATGAAACCGGGTCACTTTTTTCTGACTTTGTGGCTTCTAGAAATATTAGTGCACCCCCAAATCATGAGTGTTAATTAACAACTTATAATTAGTGCCCCCGCGATTATATCTTCTGTTACTGCCGGAAATTATAAAGGTGATGAGGAACTGATAAAGAAAGGAAGTTGTTATGATAAACGTGTAACCGATGAGCAAGTAATTAAACTAGGCTCGTAAATAATGTCTGCGGGCTGAGGTAACTGAAAACATGTTGTGTACAAAACTTAAAGAAACATAGAGGCCGAACTTGATCAGGAACTTACTAGGCGGACTATAGATTAGGATATCTGCTAACAAAAAATATTTGAGGAACCTCTACACTAACACAAGTACGTACGAATTACGATGTGTGGTAGCTACGTCCGTGAGTAGGAGAGACCGTAAAGGTTCACTAATCGGAAGAAGATACAATTACATTATATAGAGGTCATAAACTAATGAGAAACTGACTGATTGGACTACACAAATTGGGGTGGTATAATGAGCATATATTTCTAGAACCGTTCTCGATCTCAATTGTATAGCAGCAAGCAAATAAACATATTCAAGGTGTTGTAAAATAAGTGATGACTCGAACCTTACTAACCCAATAGAGGGACTGTTCGTGATGTAATGGCAATTATTAAGAAAAGACTAAAGTAGTAAAAGTAAGTACCTCAAAGTTAGGGATGGCAATGGGTCGGGTTGGGTCAGATTTTACCAATACTAAACCCATGGGTTTATCCAGGAAAATAATTCAGGGTAAAACTCACTGGGTTTGAAAAACTCAAACCCAACTCAATCCGCTGGGTATCCGCGGGTCCATGGATACCCACGGGTTTTTGTCGTAAAAAATTTACAATAACAAGTTCCTATCAAAATTAAAGTCAAATATCAATCTCTCAATACAAATTATCTATATATAAAACACAATTCTAGAAAATTCAAGCAAATCACAAATTAACTATACAAATTGTTCAACACCAATCTAGAAAATTCAAGAAAATTGAAGCAAATCACAAATTATCCATAAATAACATGATTAATTGAAAGCTTCTTCTTTTCAATTAAGTTTCTTCACTCTCCACTCGATAACATCAACTTCATTCTACACAATTAGAAAGAAAAAATTAGACATGTCTCCACAAACATAAATAAGATTAGTTGTTTAGAATATTAAATATATCGAGAAAATTAATTATATGGGTGTGGGCGGGTACCCATGGGTCGGGTTTACCTAAACCCAAACCCAATCCGGTGAATAGTGAACGGCTTTAAACCCAAACCCAACCCAAAACCCGTCAATACGAATTTTACTCGCGTTGACCGAATTGACTCGGGTGGGTACCCATGGGTTCGGATTTTGTTGCCATCCCGACTCAAAGTTTGCACTTTGTTACTTGGAAGCGATCGAGCAAGGCTAGCTAGGGTTCGGGGGAAAAACACGTGATAATAAAAACT